CAGAAGTCTTAACATAAGTAATTATTTCTTCCAGGTAAGGAGGAAAGGATGCTAATTTCACTATTTTACTGTCAGGGCATCTTCAAAGATAGGTGAAAAAGAAAAAGTGAGGTTAAAAAAAATGAGGATCGGTGGCCATAATGCAATCGTTTATAAAGAAAAGATGGTTTTTCTAAAATCTTAAAAAGCAAAAGCAAAAGCTAAAACTGCAGCATTTTCTGACCTCTGTTTTTCAGGTCTGGAAGATCCTCTGGGGGAGGAAATGGCAACCCACTCCAGTATTCTTGCCAGGATAATTCTGTAGACAGAGCAGCCTGTCGGACTACAGTCCACGGGGTCACCAAGAGTTGGACACGAGTGAAGCAACTGAGCCTGCATGCACCAGCCGCCTGCTTACTGCCCTATCTAGACCTCTAATCCAAGGGGTCTCAATCCAATATTATAGATCAAATTGAAACCAAGATTTTAACGACACCGCAAACCACCCCCAAACGAAGAAGAATCACCAGGTTCTGGCTACAGCCCAATTCCTAACAAATTGGATAATAATTTAAGATGGAAGGTCAAAATGATGTTTGAAGGCACAGGTAGGTTGTAGCTCAAAAACTGATAGCCTGCACTTAAGCTATGATAACTAAAACACTCGTTAACTGTCTAGTAATATAAATCCAGCATAGCATTTTTCACATTCATCCCTTTCTGATAAATTGGACAAACTTTCCAAAACCGATAAATGAAGTAGTCAAACAAGCAGTGGTGTTACTAAGGTATGAATATTATTGTCAGGATGAACCATTTCTACCACATAAAAACTCCACTGTCTTAGAGGATTACGATACCTTATCAAAAACATTTCGGTATATGATGTAATATTCATCAGCAGGTCCTTCCTCATTACAGCACACTCTTTCAGTTTCTGTAATTATGTATCTTTGCATTCTTTCCAAAAATTCCTTGTCACTTCTACTAATGATAGGAGGGAGAACTGCATGCTTATTTATTTCTTGGACGGACATACGTCACAATCTATACACTTTTTCGCCAGAGAAAATTTAAGTCTTGATTTGCTTTTGCAACAAAGCCAAAACTTTGATAAGCCTGAAAGAAAAAAAAAATCAATTAACCTAAAGCGTTACATAAATTAGGTCAAATATGGATCTAAATAAAATGTTTCAGAAAAAAAAACTCTCATGGATCTCATGACATAAATATTTCGACCTATGAGTGAACAGGTCTAATTAATTCTACTGTCATGTGCTATACTATACCTCTGGGATAGAAATACCAAACACCAGACAATAAAAAGCTCTTTTCTTACTAAAGAAGCAATTGTATCTTAAGATCGAATGGTTTGTTTAACTTAATATTTTCTAACAGAAGTTTAATTAGCATTTAGTTTGCTTCATGTGGGAAAACTAGTTTGAAAGTATCCTGATAAAACAAACAAGGTCAAATATTGTGGCCTCCAGTCATTCTGGTGTGGGAGTGATAGCCTTGTTTATAGGAACTTAGGCTTAACTCTGACTGAGACAGGAAGCTACTGGAGGACTGTGTGCAGAAGACTGACAGCTGACTTACATTTTCAAAGAATTGCTCCTGCTGCCCCGTGAAGACAAGGGTTGAAGACAGAATTACTGGGAAGCTACGACAAGAGCCCAGGCATAAGATAATGGTGGCTTGAAATAGTGGTAACAGCAGAGCTGTGAGAAGTGTTCGGCACATACATCAAAAATAAAACCAAAAAGATTTGTTGAGGGATGCGATGTGGGTATGAGAAAATAATCAAGGATGACCATAAAGTTTCTGGCTTCAGCAACTGAAAAGATGGAATTGCCTTCTATGAGATGGGACAATCAATTTCATAAAATCAGGCATTTGGGCCCACCTATTAGAGATGATGAATCGACAGTTTGTGAAGCTGGAATTCAAGTGAGTAGTCCAAGTGAGAAAGAAGTTTATAAGTCATCTGCATATAAATGATATTTAAAAGTTATGAGACAGAATGGAAAAAGATCTGGGAAATGTAAGCAAAGCAGATATCCAAGGATGGGGCCTTGGGGGCACTTCAAAGCTTAGAGGTCTGGTAGATAAGAAGGAAGCAGCAGGGGGTATTCTTTTGCCCCCTTCTGATGCCTATGTCAGAAGCTTTCCCTATCTTCTTTATACTTTAATAAAACTTTATTACACAAAAGCTCTGAGCGATCCAGCCTCGTCTCTGGCCCCGGATTGAATTCGTCTCCTCCGGAGGCCAAGAATCCCGCGTCTAATCGTTCAGCAACAACCTTTCATCTTGGGGGCTCGTCCGGGATCCTTCAAGACAAGGTAAGGATGCTTGGAGCTCTAGTTCTTTGTTCTCCTAGCAAACATGTTTTCTGCTGTACTTTACTAACTCTTCAGTGTGCTTGTGTGAATGAATGAAACGCCCTCGCGAAGCAAATGAGGAGCCCTGCTCTGCGGTTCCGCGGCGACCTCATAAGGCTTATGGCAAAAACCTGTCGGGGGTTTATACCGACCTGCCAATGCCAAGAGGCAACCAATGTCTTCTTCAGGAACCGACCAGAAACGGGCAAAGCGTGTGGACCGAACTCTCCTTTCTCGGTCAACTTTTCGGTCTCTTTGACCATTTCATAACTCCTTGGGAATTAAAAGTACTAACCTAATCTATCGGATCATAGGCTTTCAAGGGACTTGTAATCTATGTTGCTACTGTACTGTGGCCTAGGTCTCAAACTTGGATTGGTAGTCAGGAAGCGCCTAGCCTCGCTAGGCATGGAAAGTTTGGAAGCTAGATGGAGCTCTGGCTCCAAGAGCATCTCTGAGGTTAAAGGTTACTCAGATTGGAACTGCAATGGGGTTTTTCCCTTTGGTAATACTGGCTCTTAGTGGACCAGAGGAGGCTCTTATAATGGTGTGGTGACGCTGGAAGGAACATCTCAGTTTTATGCTCGTATCGGTCTTATTGTGGTCAGAAATATACTCAGGGTCATGCACAGGCACTCAGGTGACAAGAATGTTTCCCCCAGCAGTCTTAGCTTGGGAGGCATGCCGGAAGGTCACTCTGATCGAACCCCGGGTGGCATCAGAGGTAAGCAAGGTTTTAATGGTGAGGAGCTGGACGTCAGTCAGGGATGCCATCAGGTCTACCCCTGGTGCANTAAAGTAATTAGCCTCCAACTAATAAAAATTTTAAAAAAAAAAAAAAAGAAGGAAGCAGCAAAACAGCCTGGAAAAGAGGGTCTACGGGGATGGAAGTCAATCAGGTGAAGAAAGTGCTTCAAAGAGGAAAGGCATGATCCACTGTGTCAAACGCTGCTGACAGGTCAAAGAAGATTAAGTGGATATTGAATTTAGCAACACGGAGGTTATTCCCACAGTTATTCAGTTGGAATAGGAGGGGAGACAAAAAGCCTGTCCCCAGAAGTGGGTTCAGTCAATGGAAGGAAAAGAATCAAAGAGACAATGAGTATAAACAACTTTCAAGGAGTTTTGTCGTAAAAGTGGAGATTAATTGGCAGAATATGGGATGAAGAGTGTACCAGAGAGAAGAAATGGATTCTTCAGAAGTGCCAAAGTAGGAAAGACATGTCAGGAACTTCAATTAGTTCAATGTTAATAAAGTGCAAAGCGAGAAATGGCTTCGGCAGATTAGGCTCTAAGGAAGGCAGAGGTTCACTATCACGCTAAGGAATTTGGGTTTTATCTTGAAGGTGAAATAGCATAATGACATAATCATTTTTACTTTTTAGAATACTTTGGCGGCAAAAGTGAAGGTGGGTTAGCAGACGACTGGAGACAGAGAAAATTAAGAAGCCTGAATTTGGGGATGGGGAAGCAGAGAACGGCAGAGAGATAAAGACATTAGTAGGGTACATATGGCAAAAGGCCATGGCTTCCCATGTGGCTCAGCAGGTAAAGAAATCACCTGCACTGCAGGAGACCTGGGTTTGATCCCTGGGTGGGAAGATCCCCTGGAGAAGGAAATGGCAACCCATTCTAGTATTTTTGACCTGAAAAATTCCATGGTTAGACGGCCCTGGCCGGCTTAGCATATGGGGTCGCAAAGAGCCGGGACAGGACTAAACACAAACGCATAGCAAAGGTTTAGCTCGCTCACCCGCCTGCCTTGCCAGGAGAGCACCCTACACATACTCCAAAAACATCCTCTTAGGATTTTCACAACTCCCAACGTCCAAACTTGTTAATTCTGCAGTAAATAAACTTCCATCGGGTTTCTTTCCCATAAGACTTCATTTGAAAATCTGAAAACTCCTGAGGCTTTTTAACATATTAAACCTTTTCACACTGCGTAGTGACATACAATACAGGCTCTTCCTCAAACCAGGAGAGCCCAAGGGGTTGAGGACACCACCTATTATTCCGGTTGCCTGGAGCTGGCCCTTCCCTTGAAGGCCCTGGGAGCTTCTGGTAGTAGATCGCTGATTCTCAGCCCCTCACCGCCTCTGTTAGTGGGTGACGACACTTTTGGTTCCCCCTGCTCTTCTCCAGCCTCTTAACCTTCCCTCCTAGTCACTTCTGACCCGTTTCCATCTCCCAGAAACCATTACTGCGCTTGCCTCTTCCTCCTCACCTTAATGCCTTTCTCGAAACCCACCGCTAGGCGATAGTAACTAGGGAGCCGTGAGGTATGGAACTGCATCTTGGGACAAGTAGTCCTGCCAAAAGAAAGCAGTGGAAACTACAATTCCCAGAAGACACTGCCGTTTCCTCTCTTTTTCTCATGAAGGCCCTTTAACTCCACCCCCCACCCCCCCACCCCCAAAGGATCTCTTAGCCACGTCAACTACAGGGGTAAAGCCTTTTAAAGACATTTTTAAGTTGCTTAAATCTATTATTTCCAGAAAGTTCTGGAGGATAAAGTAAGAAATAAGCTAAGCTAGAGGGAGGAGAAATGAGGTCACGACCTGGTCTGGCATGTGGCTGGACAGCCGCTGAGACAGTGCTCAGGCACTTGGTGTGGCCGCCTAGGAGGCGGGGCCTCCAGGAGCGCCCGGAAAGCTCGTGGACCAGCGTGGGGCCTTCCTTTCGGATCCGCCATCTGCGGTGAGTGTGTGCATGCGGCCGAGCTCTGTCCCGTAACCTGCCATCGCACCTCCTGTTTTTCCGGGTCTCATCTGTCTCCTCCTTTTCCTCACCCTCAGGTGGAACCGCCGCCAAGATGCAGATTTTCGTGAAGACCCTGACGGGGAAGACCATCACTCTCGAGGTACGGGCCAGGCCGGGGAGAAGCCGCGGCCTGATGGAGGGAGGGCCTGAGGCGGGTCTCGGCACTGGCGCTGCTTTCCGCCGTACAACGCGTTTGTGAGCCGGACTTCTAAAATCTGACCTTGAAATAAGCGTTGTTTGTTGAGCCGTGGCCTAGGGCGCGTTTTCTATGCCTGAAGTCCGAGTGTGTCACTTCTAGGCGTTCCGACAGGGTAGCCGGAGCCGGCGTCGCGCGGTGGGAGGGAGGTGCTCTTGTAGGTGGGCGCGAGCACGTGTGGCCCGGCCGCGCCGTCTGGGGCTCTCCTAGGTGGGTTTCGGCCCCCACCGGCTCGGTTCCTTGGTAACTTTCAAGTTCTTACTCTGTTACCGATATGTTTGCGTTTTAAAACTCATAGGTCGAACCCTCGGATACAATAGAAAATGTAAAGGCCAAGATCCAGGATAAGGAAGGCAAGTTGGTATTTTCTGATTCAGAAAAACTGATCTGTAGAGGCTCTTGTCAGGCGCTAGACATACCTGCTCTCTCTGTGGGGTGGGAAAAAGTCTGAATGAAACGAGTTTTACGAAAATGCTTTTGGAATAACACAGTAGGCAAACGTTTATCAGCATGGAGCCAAACTACAGTTAGGTTTCATGTCTGTGAATTCGAAGGAGCTAGCTAATTTAAACTCAACGTCTTCTGTCAAGTGGCTATGTTAATGTATATTAAGAGTAAATGAGATTAAAATGCGTAAACATTTACAGTTACACCTTGCCTATAGTGAGAACTCACTGATGACTGTCAGTACCATTTACTTGATTCAGGATTGTAAATCATGAGCAGATATGCTTAATTTACCATCACTTAACTTATGTATTCAACTTGTTTCCCATTAGGAATTCCTCCTGACCAGCAAAGACTGATCTTTGCTGGCAAGCAACTGGAAGATGGACGTACCTTGTCTGACTACAACATTCAAAAGGTCTGTTTGGAGGAAAGCAGCCCTTTAAGTATAAATATATGTCACAACTGGGAATTTTGACCAGTATTCAAAAGTAGGGAGAATAGCATTCAATTAGCAATAGTATCCCAGGTGATTCCTTTATCAGCATTTGAGAAGTGCTGCTGCAGTCCCCTAAATTTTGGATTTTGCACATTGCATCCCATGATGTTCTTTAACCTTTCTATAGTAGTTTATATAAGACTGAGATCCCCACCCTGCCCCCCAACATTCCATCATCTGTGGGTGTGCTTGACATCCAGTTAGAAGGTGCATGATGCTGGTTGTCCATTCTCTGGACACTAGCATTAATGTAGCCATTTTTAAAGCCTGTTTCATTCTCTGTTCAATAACAGGAGTCCACTCTTCATCTAGTGTTGAGACTTCGTGGTGGTGCTAAGAAAAGGAAGAAGAAGTCTTACACCACTCCCAAGAAGAACAAGCATAAGAGAAAGAAGGTTAAATTGGCTGTTCTGAAATACTATAAGGTGGGCCAAATAAGTTTTTTGTCTATAGATTAATAATTTTGTTTGCATTTCTGGTTTCAAACTCTTTTATTAAAGAAGTTTGGTTTTTTGTTTTTTTTTTTTTTCTTCCTGTTTTGGTGTTTGGGCTTTATGTAATGGGGATTACCTGTAGCTATTTCATTTCAACTAAGCTTGGGATTCTAATGTCAGTTTGGGTTCAGGTCTTAACTCTGTCCATCACTTGCATGGCTGGACTTTAAAAACTCAACTTCTTGTACTAATTACTGGTGAGAATTTGGGATGCTTTGGTTTGTAAATACTAAAAACTATCGTTGTGTAATTTAAAGGGTAAATATTTTGAGTCACTTATAAACCAGATCTCAGAATATGTTGCAAGATTATCTTAATAGCAAGTTTCTGCTTTTTAGGTGGATGAGAATGGCAAAATCAGTCGCCTTCGCCGGGAGTGTCCCTCAGATGAATGTGGTGCTGGAGTTTTTATGGCCAGTCACTTCGACAGACATTACTGTGGCAAATGTTGTCTGACCTATTGTTTCAACAAACCAGAAGACAAGTAATTGTATATTGGCTAATAAAGATATGAGCTAACATTTAAATGTTGGGTTTTATTCCACTGCTTTTAAAAGTGGACTTTAAGCATCAAATTTTCTAAAGTAACCTGTACTTCACAGAATTATGTTATATTTAGTATCAATTGTTTAGATTTAAGCCAGTTAATTTTGACCTCAGCAGTATTGACATTTAGACTGATAATTCTTGGTTATAGGGGCCTTCCTGTGCATCAGAAGGATAATGAACAGCATTCCTGGCCTCTGCCCACTTGATGCCATGAGCATACTATTCTATTCCCTCCCCACAGCCAAAAGTATCTAGACATTGCCAGATGACCCCTCAGGGTGGTGAAGAACTATGCCCTTCCTCACCCCTGCAGATTGGGAAACACTGGTTTGTGTGAATTGGTATTACAACCTTGCCTTAAAAAGCTACAATATACTTGTTTCCTACAAATGAAGTTTAAAGGCTGAGCTCCTGAGTTGCCAATTAATTCATCCCAAGTCTGGATGGTTTGTCTCAAAATTTGCTGTTTGCAATACAAAGGGTAAATGCTGCTATTCAATGCTATGTGTGTAAATTCTAATGTTTACTTACTGGTAGTGTTGATGTTAAAAAACATGGTTTCATAGTTTTGCCTCTAGAGCACAGTTCAGGATCACTGAACTAAAGCACCTGAAATGTTTTAAACTGATGATTAAGATTCAGTGATATACCAATAATAGTTTTCTTTAGCCTTATTTTCCCATACCAGGATTTCTAGTTGTAGGCATCCTTAAATAAAGTTTCCTAGGACTGTAGTATTTTTAACAGTTAAATACCAGTTAAAGCTTGGTAGAGCTTTTACACCAGTAGTAAAACAAAACTAGTTGCTCTATAATAAGACAAAAACATTTAATCATTTATATTTTTTTAAATAATTTTAAAATCCTGGATCCCAAGAAGTCTTGGCTGGAACTTGTTTTTCTTCGTAACAAACAACAGCATCTCCCACTTTAAATTCTATCTTTTCTTCATCCAAACTAAGACCACAGTCCATGCCAGTTTTGACAACTGAAGTATCATCTTTATGGTGTTTCAGTGAGATTAACGAGCCTTTAGGGGAAAAAGAAAATACAGGGTTCATACAGTCAACAGATAAGTGTCCAGCAAGTGCTGGTGTCTGCTACAACAGCAGACTACAAGGAAAATTACACCGAGATTGTTACAGGTTTCACACTTCTTCCATGTTACATGATGGGGCTAAATACCAAGGAAAGGGAAGAAAGTTACGTGGTTGTAGTGATCTTCCTTTTTAAAGGTTAACACTGCAAGGGATGGGATGGTTCTCAGGACTTGGATGAGCTAAACCAGGGTGACGGTGTAGGCAAAGGTGGTTGGAGGATGGAAATAAGGAGACGGCTGGAAAGTGCTTCCCAGGTGGCCCTAGTGGTAAAGAACCTGCCTGCCTGGTGCAGGATACAAGACACGGGTTCAGTCCCTGGGTCTAGAAGATCCCCTGGAGAGGGGCATGGCAACCCACTCGAGTATTCTTGCTGAAAAGCTGGACAGAGCCTGGTGGGCCTTAGTCTGCAGGGCCACAAAGAGCCCGACACAAACTGAAGCAACTTAGCACACGCTGGAAAGGTAGTTTGGGGTCAATTTTTAGAACCTTAGAAAATCAGACTGGGGAACTAACAATCCTATGGGAATCACTGGGCCTGGAGGCCAGATAAGGAGTTAGCAAGAGGTGACCTGAGCTAAGGCTATACCTCAGATAGTAACCCACAATCAGGTTTTTAGTGACTGGATATGATAGAACAGTTTTATGTTGCTTACCCTTCCAAATAACATGTCCATTGCGGATTAACTTAAATTTTTTTTGCTTTTCTATCTGTCCCTTTTGGACTCTGCAGCCAGCCACAGGAACTTTTTTCTTCCCTTCTGTTATAAAGAAGGTAGCTAGTATAGAAGCCTCACCTTTAGGAAGAAGAGAACATTATACTGAAAACAAATTCTGACAAATACATAGTTTCTGACATTCCGCACAGCAAAAATTAAAGGCATGAGGAAAAAATACAAACTCTGGTAAAGAAGTCCTGATTTTCTCTGACTCCACCACTCTATTTTCCTGGCCAGTGTTAGAAATAAAAGCATAAAAATCCTTGGGTATTCTTGGAAATGTACTTACCAAAAGAAAGAACAAAAGAAACATGTTTACTGTTTTGGCTGAATAAAATGCAGTAGAAGATGCTAATAGCTGATTGTAAAATGAGCATAATTTCTGTCTACTTCATGAAAAGCTAGTTCTCAGTCATCCTTCAATAGTTTCTCAACTGGATCATATTAAGCTCACCTCTGGTAGATTATACACACTTAAGGTACTAAATCTCTGACTCCTCAATTTTTTTACTGACTGAAATTTGAAACATTCCAATACGACATGGTATCACACACTAGAATGTACTAGTTTTCTAGGGTTAGTGCTATTTGGTGTTTACTTACTCCTAGAAATCCTCATATGACTTTTCCAAATTGCTCTTAGCACAAGAACATAACAAATCTCTGTATGATCATGTTTAGCAGGTCAGAATAAAATAAATCCGCATTGTGGACCAAAAATGCAAATACTGAAGTCTCATCATGAGGAAACAGACAAAGTACATTCAACAAAGTCACTGGCCTGTAGCACTTCAAAAATGTCAAGGTCAAAAAAGACAAGAACAGGGACTTCCCTGGTGGTCCAGTGGCTAAGACTCCATGCTCCCAATGACAGGGGCCCAGTATAATCCTTGGTCGGGGAGCCAGATCCTGCATGCTGCAACTAAGACCTGGTGCAGCCAAATAAGTATTTAAAAAAAAAAAAAAAAAACAATCTGTCATCCTGGATCAAGGGAAAAATATATAAAGTACATTATAGAAATAATGAACATGGACTGTTGACTTAGAGTATTAATGTTCAATTTCCTAATTTTTATATTCCGTGGTTTTATAAAAGAACATCCTTGTGTTTAGAAAATACAAATATTGGGTAGGCCAAAATGTTCATTGGTGTTTTTACATACGAACTTTTGGTCAACCCGGTATTTAGGGGCAAATGAACACAATACCTCAAATATACAATTAAGTAAGCCCAGGAAAAAAAAAAAACTGTGTGTGTGTATGGAGGAAGGGGGTGGGCTAAAGCAAATGGGGCAAAATGTAAACAACTGGTAAACTGGAAGTGAGTTCCTTACACTTTTCCAGTAATTTTTCAGGAAACTTAAAACTATCATCAAAATTAAAAGTTAACCAAGAAAATCTGGATGTGGGGAGGAAAAAACGAGATGATTCAGTCCATCTTAAATAAATTTAGCCTTTAATCTGGCCAAAGGATATGTTAGAAAAAATAATTTTAAATGTTGAATTTTTAATGTGAGTTTTCTTATGGTGGATTTCTCTGCCAGTTGCAGGACACAATGGCTCCTTCCACAACACTGTTAATAGCATTTATGCCTCCATCCAGTCTACTTTGTATTATAATGAGTTGTTTATGTCTAACTAGAGGAAACGTTCTTACTGCCTTACTGCCTTAATAGCCTCACAGCCAAAGCATAAAACCTTACAGAGGCCAGGTATTTATAATTCAGCTCAAATTATGCTGAACCCTTATCTAGAGTAGTCATTTTTTCTAGAACACAGGATATGTGTTGGAACAGTGAACATATTTAAACAGTGAAATACATTTCCCCTTAAACTTTGCTTTCAAGTGTTACTCACAGCAGGTAAGGTATGAATGTTTAGAGTACCATTCAGTGAACACTCACCTACTGGGTGCTCTTCCACAATGCAGGGCAATCTGCTGCTCAGTTCTTCCTGCAAATCTTCAATGAGACGGTAAATGACTTTGTGAAGTTTAATTTTTACTCCCTTTTTTGCAGCCAACTGCTGGATAACATTGCCTGCATTCACATTGAAGCCGTATATAACACCTGGAAAGCACAAATAGAATAAAGTAGCACAAATATTGCATTAAACAGTCTTTCAAGCAAAAATTCAAATCTAAAGTTTTTGCTTCTATGTAAGTTAAAAGCAAGTAGGAGAGATAAATTCTGTAACATTTTCTCATGAAAGTCAGTTTTCAAATTAATAAAAATATTTTATAAATTCTGTTATGGCTTACTAAAAAAGGAAAATTTCTTTGATTTTTAAGTGTTCTTTATGATGTTTAATGTTCATTTAGGAAACATTTTAAGTGCCCAAAATGTGCAGGGTGATATGGTAAATGTTAATTTTTACACCAGGGAAATAAGAAAAAAAATGATTATAGCTAAAATATTACATTATTTTAATAACTGTTATTAATTGCAATCTTATAGCCTACAACTTTTGTGGTTTGCTCTGAAGTATTCAGCTGACCAAAAGATGTTCAAAAACACATGACCCTTGAGCAACACAGGTGTTAGGGATGCTGATCCTCCAGACAGTTGAAAATCCAAGAGTAACTTATAGTTGGCCCTCCATATGTGATTCCTCCACATCCAAGGAGTCAGCCAACCTCAGATCTTGTAGTGCTATAATATTTACTACTGAAAAAAATCCATGTGTAAGTGGACCCACAGTTCAAAACCATGTTGTTCAAGTATCAACTGTAGTTACTTAATTAGATAAGTTCAAGAGTTATTTAAGAAATGAAAGTACCATGGAGCTGACCATTTTAACAAAGAACAAATGGGGGAAGCAAAAGCAAAACACTTTCCTTAAACAAGGGAAAAATTTAAAGCAAATGGCTTAGTCAGGAGAAAAACATAACCACCTTGAAAATCTTGTCATTAAGAAATCGTTCAACACACCACACTATCCACATTAACAGTACAGTCAGTGTCCATAAAGTACTCTGAAATGCCCAGCATTACGGAAGACAGCATCTCTGTGGTAGAGGTAACAACTAATTCTAATCAAGTTAGGTCATGAAGTACCTCCTTCCTAAATGATTCACTAATTCAATAAAATTAGTGCTTTGCCTAGCTGTTAAACCCAGTCAAAGTGACGGTCAAGCAGTGATGAGTCCCCGTTCTGTGTAACG